AAGGTGCAGGTTCTTACCTACAAAGCCCTGAATGGTTTGGGACCCGCCTACCTGCATGACCGCATTCGTGTGTACGAATGGAGAGGCCCTGCTCACGCTCCCACCTCCTTCACAGGCGCGATTGGTGGGGACGAGGGAGAGGGCCTTCTCGGTGGTAGCCCCTCGACTCTGGAATTCACTCCCTAAGGACATCAGACATGCCCCAACGCTGGCAGTCTTTAGGAGGAGCCTGAAAACGTGGTTGTTCCAGTGTGCCTTCCCAGAATAAGGAAAACTCTTTGCAATATGTCCTCAAATGCACTTTAATATTGATTTAGGATTGTCTGTGTGCCCTCATCTTTCTCTGAAAACCATATCCTAGTTTACCTTACCTTGTCATGTCCAGCATTTTAAATTTTAATTATTACATTTGGCCAGGCCATAGGTTTTTAAATGCTGTATGTTATTATTATTATTGTTTATTGCTTATTGTGTATTTTTTTGTTTTTGAGTTTTATTTATTTTATTTTATTTTAACTGTTTGTACTGATTATTTGTTATTGCCTTTGTTTATTGATGTGCTGTGGGCTTGGCCTCATGTAAGCCGCACCGAGTCCCTTGGGGAGATTGTAGCGGGATACAAATAAAGATGATGATGATGATTATTATTATTATTATCAAAGAGTACAAAAGTTTTGTCTTCTACCAAAGTGCTCACTGGGTGAGTTGGGACAAAATAAAGATAGTGAAAACTGATGAACAGTTCTGGTAAACTCAAAAGCTTGCACACTTTTGTTGCATTTTCACCGGTCCTGATCAAGATGCTGCCCAGCTAGTGATCTTGGTGATCACCACATGTCAATTTGCTTTTGTTTCTTCTTTGGCTACTTTGTGGCTCATACAATCCCCAGCCCACCTAGAACAAATCAAATTGTTTTATATACACATGCACACACTGTGGTCCTAGGCTGACTACCTACTGACCATTCTATGATATAAAACACAAATTGGCAGGAGAAAAAACAGTATTTATTTATCATATTGGAACTGTTGTAATGTATTTTAAAAACCCAAACAAAGTTTAAAAGCTTGGCATTATACCAAATGTCCCTTGACCAGTACCTAGCCCTTGGAGTGCCTCATATTGCTATAAGAAGGTCCTCCATTGTGCATGTGGCAGGGCTCAGACTGCATTGTAATAGGTGGTCTGTGGTTTGCTCTTCTCCACACTTGCATGTCATGGACTCCACTTTGGGGCCTCATTTCTTAAGGTTGGCTCTGCATCTCATGGTGCCAGAGCGCAGTCTGTTCAGCATCTTCCAAGTCGCCCAGTCTTCTGTGTGCCCAGGGGGGAGTCTCTCATTTGGCATCAACCATGGGTTGAGGTTCCGGGTTTTAGCCTGCCACTTTTGGACTCTCGCTTGCTGAGGTGTTCCTGCAAGTCTCTCATCCAGTCACAGTCTGGTTTCAGGCCTGGTCATGGCACCGAGACAGCCTTGGTCGCCTTGGTGGATGACCTCCGCAGAGAGCTGGACAGGGGGAGTGTGACTCTGCTGGTTCTCTTGGACATCTCAGCGGCTTTCGATACCATCGACCATGGTATCCTTCTGGGTCGTCTCTCTGGGATGGGCCTCGGGGGCGCGGTTCTGTCGTGGCTCCGGTCCTTCCTGGAGGGACGGACCCAGATGGTGAAGCTGGGAGACGCCTGCTCTGACCCCTGGCCTTTGACCTGTGGGGTCCCGCAAGGCTCTATCCTGTCGCCCATGCTCTTCAACATCTACATGAAACCGCTGGGAGAGGTCATCCGGAGTTTTGGAGTTGGGTGCCATCTGTATGCGGATGACGCACAACTCTACTACTCTTTTCCACCTAATTCCAAGGAGGCTTCTCGGGTGCTGGACGAGTGCCTGGCCGCTGTGTCGATCTGGATGAGGAAGAACAAGCTGAAGATCAATCCCGACAAGACAGAGGTCCTCCTGGTCGATCGTAAACCGGATCGGGGTATAGGGTGGCAACCTGTGTTGGACGGGGTTACACTCCCCCTGAAGCCACAGGTCCGCAGCTTGGGTGTCCTCTTGGATTCTTCGCTTACACTTGAGGCTCAGGTGTCGGCGGTGTCCGGGAGGGCCTTTGCACAACTGAGACTTGTGCGCCAGCTGCGACCGTACCTCGTGAGGGCAGATCTGGCCGGGGTGGTCCACGCCTTGGTCACCTCTAGAATGGACTACTGCAATGCGCTCTACGTGGGGCTACCCTTGAAGACGGCTCGGAAACTTCAATTGGTCCAGCGGGCAGCAGCCAGGATGCTAACCGGGGCTCATTATCAAGAGAGGTCTACCCCTCTGTTTAAGGAGCTCCACTGGCTGCCATTTATTTTCCGAGCCCAATTCAAGGTGCAGGTGCTCACCTACAAAGCCCTGAACGGTTTGGGACCACCCTACCTGCGTGACCGCATCTCCATCTACGAACCCACACGCTCCCTTCGGTCATCTGGGGAGGCCCTGCTCGTGATCCCACCTACGTCGCACGCACGTTTGGTGGGGACAAGGGACAGGGCCTTCTCTGTGGCGGCCCCCCGACTTTGGAATGCCCTCCCAAAAGATCTCCGACAGGCCCCTACTTTAGCAGTTTTCAGAAGGAATCTAAAAACTTGGCTGTTCCGATGTGCCTTCTCAGATTAGGAATCCCCATCCCAAGTCCTAGAAGCACTTTAGCACAATCAATGTTACTGCACACTACACTTTTAATCCTACGTTCCTCCTGCCATCTCAGCACTTTTAACCCTGTACCCCATTGCGCCGGCCGAACCAGTTTTAATAGTGTCTTGATGTACTGATGTATTGTCATTGTTGTTATTTTGCTTAATTGTTTTGATTTGCTTTGTTATTGTTGTGTTATGTTTTCTATTGTATTGTGTTCTGAGGCTTCGGCCCGTGTAAGCCGCATCGAGTCCTTCGGGAGATGCTAGCGGGGTACAAATATAGTTAATAATAATAATAATAATATAAGCCATTTTGAAGTTCTGGGTTTTGGCCTGCCAATCTTGGACTATTGCTTACAAAGGTGTTCCTGTGAGCATCTCTATAGATCTTAAAAAAACTATTTCTTGATTTAAGGCATTGGCTGATATCCTTTTTTAAAAAAAATAATTTTTATTGATTTATCACATTTATTACATACTATTGCATTTCGTACATCAGCCTCTTTAACATGTTGTTTTATTATTTTGCTTTGACATTCCCCCCACTTTTCTCTTTTTTTTTCGTTTTTATCACCACAGTGCTCCCCTCCACCCGTCTCAAGCCTCAATTCTTACATTTCATTTGTCCAAATTTGGCTGATATCCAAAGAGAGGATGGACTGGAGATATCACTGCCTTGGACCTTTCATTATTGGCTGCTACTTCCCAACGGATGTCAGGTGTTGCAATACCGGCTAAACAGTATAATTTCTCCAGTAGTGTAGGGTGTAGACATCCCATGATAATGCAGCATGTCTCATTAAGAGCCACACTCACTGTTTTAATGTGGTGAGATGTGGTCCACACTGGGCAGCAGAGTAGCAAAGCACAAGGACAGATGTCTTTGCTGTGACTAGTTGTGATTCCCAGGTTGTGCCAGTCAACTTTTGGACGATATTGTTTCTAGCACCCACTTTTTGCTTGTTATTCAAGCAGTGCTTCTTGTAGGTCTGAGCACGGTCCAGGGTAATTCCCAGATATTTGGGTGTGCTGCAGTGCTCCAGTGGGATTCCTTCCCAGGTATCCTCAGAGCTCGAGATGCTTGTCTGTTCTTAATATGAAAAGCACATGTCTATGTTTTAGATGGATTAAGAATCAGCTCGTTTTTCCTGTAATAGGCAGCAAGAGTGCCTAAAGCTTCAGAGAGCTTCTGTTCAACCATTTCAGTGCTCCCTGCTTGGGCGGTGATGGCACGATCATCAGCATAGATGAAACTCTCTGTCCCTTCTGGCAATGGCTGGTCTTTTGTGTAAATATTAAACATTGATGAAGCAAGCATGCTCCCCTGAGACAGGCCATTCTGTTTTTGCTATCTGCGTCTCTGGCCCTGGAATTCAACAAAAAAGCTCCTGTTTAGTAGCAGATTTCCTATGATTTGGGTGAGGTGGTAGTCCTTTGTGACTTTGTAAGTTTTTCTCAGGAGAAGGTGATGATTTACAGTGTCATAAGCTGCTGGCAGTAACTAAATAGACAGTAACATATGGTAATTTACAAATAGAAAATGTCCTTATGCCATTGTTGTCAAAGAAAGAGAGTAATGGTAGAAACAACTGAAATTCGAGTAACAATCTTTGAGATAAAATCAACAGAAACCCATTAGAAGCAGTGATGGATTACAAACTCTCCAGCAAGAGAGGTCCACTTTGCTAATGAACGAATGTAAGACTATCACGCAGCCTTACATTAGAAGAAAACTAAAATTCACTAGAAGTAGAATTGCTGTTTTAGGGATCAGGGGAGGCACTGCCATCGGATAAGGATCAGGATCAGGACAGGACACACATTTATTTTTATTGTTATTTTTCAATATGCATTGGAGGGCCAATGCATATTTTGTTGTTGTTGTTGTTTATTTGTTCAGTCATTTCCGACTCTTCGTGACCTCCTGGACCAGCCCACTCCAGAGCTCCCTGTTGGCCCTAGCCACCCCCATTTCCTTCAAAGTCAAGCCAGTTACTTCAAGGTTACCATCCATCAAACTTGCCCTTGGTCCCCATACCACCAAGAACTTGCCACAATTTATTATGATCCACACAGTCAAAGGCTTTAGAATAGTCCATGAAACAGAAATAGTTGTTTTTCTGAAACTATATATTCCAAATATATATTCCAAGAAAAGCACAGGATTGTATATATTGACAAAGAGAAGATTTGCATGAAGCCCAAAGGAGTGGATGGATGACAAATTGGATACGATAGGATATTCCAAATATCACCTCTCCACCCATCCCAATTACATCACTAGGCCAGCAGGAAATAGGGGGAGTTTGAGGCTGTCAAGCTCTCTTGCCTCTTTGCAAACAACAGTGTGCAACCTCTGAGCTAACTGTGGCAACGTTCCACTCCTCTGCCCTGCACACACCGTTTCACCATGAAGCCCATCCTGTTTGTTGCTGTCATCCTGCTGATCAATCTGGCTCTGGCTATTAATAATAAGGTAAGGATCGAGCTTGTCCAAAACTGAAATTCAAGGCCAAGGGGCAATTCAACTCTTTTGTTACTTTGCAGAGCAATGAAACCTGGTTCAGGTAATACTGAACCAGAGCAGGCAAAGAAGGCTCTGGGCTGATGCCTCCAAGCTCTTTGTGGCCACTCAAGGCTCTTGAATGGCCACCTCGTCTCCCCGAATGCCCTTTTTACTAAGGCGGTGTTTCTCAACCTTCCTAATGCCGCGACCCATTAGTACAGTTCGTCATTCTTGTGGTGACCCCCAACCATAAAAATATTTTCGTTGCTACTTCGTAACTCTAATTTTGCTATTGTTATGAATCGTAATGTAAATATCTGATATGCAGGATGTATTTTCATTCAATGGACCAAATTTGACAGAAATACCCAATACGCCCAAATTTGAAGACTGGTGGGGTTGGGGGGATTGATTTTGTCCTTTGGAAGATGTAGTTGCTGGGATTTATAGTTCACCTACAATCAAAGAGCATTATGAACCCCACCAGCAATGGAACTGAAGAAAACTTTGCACACAGTACTCCCATGACCAACAGAAAATACTGGAAGAGTTTGGTGGGCATTGACCTTGACCTTGAGTTTTGAAGTTGTAGTTCACCTACATCCAGAGAGCACTATGGACTCAAAAAATGATGGATCTGGACCAAACTTGGCATGAATACTCAATATGCCCAAATGTGAACACTGTTAGAGTTTGGGGAAAATAGACTTTGATATTTGGGAGTTGTCGTTGCTGGGATTTATAGTTTACCTACAATCAAAGAGCATTCTGAACTCCACCAACAATGGAATTGAAGAAAACTTCGCACACAGTACTCCCATGACCAACAGAAAATACTGAAAGAGTTTGGTGCGCATTGACCTTGACCTTGAGTTTTGAAGTTGTAGTTCACCTACATCCAGAGAGCACTGTGGACTCAAACAATGATGGATCTGGACCAAACTTGGAACAAATACTCAATATGCCCAAATGTGAACACTGGTGGAGTTTGGGGAAAATAAACCTTGACATTTGGGAGTTGTAGTTTCTGGAATTTATAGTTCACCTACAATTAAAGAGCATTCTGAACCCCACCAACAATAGAATTGTGTCAAACTTTCCACACAGAGCCCACATGACCAACAGAAAATACTGTGTTTTCTTTGGTGACCTCTCTGACATCCCCTCACGAACCCCCCCCCCCCCCCCGGGGTCTTGATCTCCAGGTTGAGAAACACTGTACTAGGTAAATGAATAGTTTGTTTTTCCTGTGGGTCGCTGGGAGCAGTAATTCACCTTTTCAAGAGTTTGCATATCTCCTTCTGCATTGATGAACGTTCTTGAAAGATCCAATTGTGTTCGGGGATGGGGAGCATATTTGGCAGTTCGTGTGCCGCCCCCAAGTGCTACCTGACTTATTTCACACAGACGCATGTCTGAACTGAACCGCACACGTGCACATACACATTGATGCACTGGCTGCGGTGTATAACAGGGCTGAACACCAGGCTGTGAGATGGTAACACCCAATAGCAATCCTAGTTGTGAATTAACTTCTTGTTGCCAGGGTATCCAGTCTTCTTTGGAAGTAGTCAGTGTTACTGTGTTAATGACATAAACATCCTTGACCACTTTCACCTAAAATACTTACATTTAGAGATGTAATCATATATTTGTTGCATTTGTGGGCTTGGATCCATAAAATCTAGTGCATCATAATTTGGATGGATTTTATGGAGCCATATCCTTAAAAATGTTTATAATACCCAAATTGTTGTGTTAATTCCAAACATTACCAAATACAGTAGCGATGGGGATGCTAAAGACATGGGACAGAAGAATAAGGAATCATAGAACCCTAGAGTTAGAAGAGACTTCGCGGGCCATCCAGTCCAACCTCATTCTGCCAAGAAGCAGGAAAATCGCATTCAAAGCACCTCCAACAGATGGCATCCAGCCTCTGCTTAAAAGCCTCCAAAGAAGTAGCCTCCACCACACTCTGGGGCAGAGAGTTTCACTGCTGAACAGCTCTCACAGTTAGGAAGTTCTTCATAATGTTCAGGTGGAATCTCCTTCCCTGTAGTTTGAAGCCATTGTTCCATTGCGTCCTAGTCTACAGGGCAGCTGAAACAAGCTTGCTCCCTCCTCTCTATGACTTCCCCTCACCTCTTGAGCCATGGCCCTCACCTTGTCTCCTCTCAGCCTTTTATTCTGCAGGCTAAACATGTCCAGCTCTTTAAGCCAGTCCTCATAGGGCTTATTCTCCAGACTCTTGATCCTTTTAACTGCCCTTCTCTGGACACATTCCAGCTTAGGGTCAACATCTCCCTTCAACTGTGGTGGTCAGAACTGGACACAGTGTGATTTTAGCTGTGATCTAACCAAGGCGGAATAGAGGGCTAGCATGACTTCCCTGGATCCAGACCAGGCATGGGAAAACTTTCTAACTTCGGGGCAGCATGTTAGCACTCCCTGCTAGGAGATCTGGTTGCCCAGTGATGGAAGGAAGGAAGGAAGGAAGGAAGGAAGGAAGGAAGGAAGGAAGGAAGGAAGGGAAGGAGGAAGGAAAGAGAAGGATGGAAGGATGAAAAGGAGGAAGGGAAGGATGGAAGGAGAAAGAGGGTGAGGGGAAGGAGAAGGAGAGAGGGAGAAAAGACAAGGGAAGGAGAAGATGAAAGGGTGGAAGGGAAGGATGGAAGGAAGGAAGAAGGGGAAGGAAAAGAAGGGGAAGGAAGGGAAGGATAAAGAAAGAAGAAGAAGGAAAGACAAAATGGAAAAAGAGAAGAGAAAGAGAAGGAGAAGGAAAAAAAGAAGAAGGAAAGAAAAGAGGAAGGAAGGAAGGAAGGAAGGAAGTAGAAAGAGGGAGAAAGGGAAAGATGGAAGGATGAAAGTGTGGATGGGAATGATAGAAGGAGAAAGGGAGGGAAGGTAGGTAAGGAGGAAGGAAAGAGAATGAAGGAAAGACAAAAGGAAAGGAAGAAAAGAGAAGAGGGAGAGAGAGGAAGAAGGAGATGAAAGGGTGGAAGGGAAGAAAGGAGGGAGGGAGAAAGAGGGAGGTAAGAGGGAGGGAAGGAGGAAGGGAAGAGAGAAGGAACGAATGGCAGGATAGTGAGAGAGAGGAGGGCCTGAGAAACAAGCCCAAGGGGCTTCATCCGGCCCCGGGCCTGGGTTTGTCCATACCTGATCTAGAAACTAGACTCGTATTTATGCAGGCCAAAATCCCTTTGGCTTTTTTTGCCGCCGCATGATATAGAATCATAGAGTTGGAAGAGACCTCGTGGGCCATCCAGTCCAACCCCTTGCCAAGAAGCATGAAAATCGCATTCAAAGCACCCCCGACAGATGGCCACCCAGCCGCTATTTAAAAGGATGAAAGGATGAAAGAGAAGGAGAAGGAAAAAGAGAAGGAAGGAAAGACAAAAGGGAAGGAAGGAAGAAGAAAGAGGGAAAGAAGGAAGGATGAAAGGGTGGATGGGAATTATGGAAGGAGAAAGGGAGGGAAAGGAGGGAGGTAAGGCGGAAGGAAAGAGAAGGAAGGAAAGACAAAAGGAAAGGAAGAAAGGAGAAAGAGGGAGAGAGGGAACGAAGTTGTTGGCTCATGTTCACCTTCCTCTCCACGAGGACTCCAAGATCTTTTCCACACATTCTCTTTTTTCGACAGAGTTACAAGCTGGGTAGATGCGGGGAATGCCGTGGATGTAGCGTACCTGGATTTCAGTAAGGCCTTCGACAAGGTCCCTCATGACCTTCTGGCAAACAAACTAGTCCAATGTGGGCTAGGCAAAACTACGGTGAGGTGGATCTGTAATTGGTTAAATGGACGAACCCAGAGGGTGCTCACCAATGCTTCCTCTTCATCCTGGAAAGAAGTGACGAACGGAGTGCCGCAGGGTTCCATCCTGGGCCCGGTCCTGTTCAACATCTTTATTAATGACTTAGATGAAGTTCTAGAAGGCATGATCATCAAGTTTGCAGACGACACCAAATTGGGAGGGATAGCCAATAGTCAAAATGGAACAATGGATGACGAATCTGGAACATGTTTTTGATGGCGAGATAGAGATAGAGAGATGGGCCAAAACTAACAAAATGAAGTTCAACAGTGACAAATGCAAGATACTCCACTTAGGCAGGAAAAACAAAATGCAAAGATACAGAATGGGGGACAATGCCTGGCTCGAGAGCAGTACGTGTGAAAAAGATCTTGGAGTCCTCGTGGACAACAAGTTAAACATGAGCCAACAATGTGATGTGGCGGCAAAAAAAGCCAATGGGATTTTGGCCTGCATCAATAGGAGCATAGTGTCTAGATCTAGGGAAGTAATGCTACCCCTCTATTCCGCTTTGGTTACACCACACCTGGAATATTGTGTCCAATTCTGGGCACCACAATTCAAGAGAGATATTGACAGGCTGGAATGTGTCCAGAGGACGGTGACTAAAACGATCAAGGGTCCAGAGGAGGGCGACTAAAACGATCAAGGTTAAGCTGCCCTATGAGGAGCGGCTTAAGGAGCTGGGCATGTTTAGCCAGAAGAAGGGAAGGCTGAGAGGAGATATGATAGCCATCTATAAATATGTGAGAGGAAGCCACAGGGAGGAGGGAGCAAGCTTGTTTTCTGCTTCCTTGGAGACTAGGACGCAGAACAATGGCTTCAAACTACAAGAAAGGAGATTCCATCTGAACATGAGGAAGAACTTCCTGACTGTGAGAGCCGTTCAGAAGTGGAACTCTCTGCCCCGGAGTGTGGTGGAGGCCCCTTCTTTGGTAGCTTTTAAACAGAGCCTGGATGGCCACCTGTCAGGGGTGATTTGAATGCAATATTCCTGCTTCTTGGCAGGGGGTTGGACTGGATAGCCCATGAGGTCTCTTCCAACTCTTTGATTCTTTGATTCTTTGATCCTGTCAAGCCAGGCATTGTCCCCCATTCTGTATCTAAGTTGAGGCAATGATAATAAGGTGGCAACTATGGCAAGTTAATTATAATAAT